TATTATTTAGAGAATAATGACAAAGAAAAGGGTCTGCACACGTTCAGTGCAGTCACAGTTTTTTTCTGTGTTTTTTGTGTCCGTGGTTGGTCTTAAAGGATCAGAGGGCCGACTGTAATGTTACCAACTCTATTTTTCAGACGAAGAGATCGACTTCTCTTTTGTTCAGTGATGGAGTCATTTCCTTTTTGGCTCTATGGTTGTTCTCTGAGAACTTATTGCCTTCAGCAAAAGGGTTCAGACAGGCCTGGACTCAGAGAAAGTCAGGCAAGGGCTGGCCTGTGCCTTTTTGCTTTGGTGTCTCTGTCTCTCCACAAGAGACTGTGGCAGTACAGGAGTGGGGAAAGGTGACTGGACCAGTTCCTCCCCCAGGCCTTCCTGGAGGCTGGAGGTGCAGGCCAGGATCCCTGGTGCTCGTGAAGCCTGGGCAGGCAGCTGCCTCCTTGGCAGGGTAGGCTCCAACCCAAGGCTCCTGGTCACTGTGTGGTCTGTGAACTATGCAAGGAAGGGAAGCTCTGCCAACATGTCACCATCCAGAACCCTGTGGACACCATCTGGGATGCACTGAGCTAGAGTTCGGGCTGACCAATGGCCATCTCCTCCGCCCTGTGGCCACACCTTCCTGAGCACACACTAGGGCACTCAGCCCAGCAAGGCTGCCAGAGCACCAAGGACAGCAGCATCTCAGTGGATGGTCCTCCTAGGCCCCAAAGGGCCCCATGACATGAGAATAAGATATTACTAATGAGCATGTAGTTAAGATTTTTTGTGCCTGGGTGCTATGTTAAGTCCTTTATACCTATTGTCTTATTTAATCAACTCCTAACATGCTTTATACAGGAAGTATATACGGTACTATTATTGGTGTGGTATGTTCTATTTTTGTAAGCATTATGCTAATCATTATTATAGTTAGGGAAGCTGAGGCACAGAGAGGCTGTGTGGGCCATGTAGCTAGTAAACTTTGGGAGTAAGGTTCAAAGTCCATGTTTTTAAGCCTAACTGGAAGTCATGTGTCCTAGATCCCAATCTCTGCTCACTGATTGGTGGGAAATTCTGTTTGGTTCTTTGTTCTTTCTGGCCCTCAGTGCAGGGATTGGACCACTTTCTAAGTGTGCTCAACAATTTCAGAGTTGTGGGATGAGCTGTGGTAGGAAGGAATGGGACTGAGGAGCATTGGACTCCCCACCTCTAGCACCCCTTCCCCTTAACCTGAGATCAAAGATTCATGTTTAGATGCTTTCTGTATTAGATGCTTGCAGTATTCCTGTATATGGATTGGCTTGCAAAAGGGGTCCTGGCACTTAAGTTGGGTTTGAACAGTAGAAATTACCAATCTAGATCCTAAAAGCAGAGGAAAAGCATCAGAGAAGTTAAGCAACCTATTTAGAGAGACTCAGGAAATTAGCAACATTAAATTAAATACATTACATACAATACATTAAATTACATAATATATTGGCACAAATTGGAGGTTCTGAGAGCCATCAAAAATGGGCTCAAATACCAATAACTGACAGCAGTGTTCTTGGCAGAGTCTACTCTTAACTGGCAGACTAGGCATGTTTGCTACCACCAAGTCCCCTCAGTGGGCAGTTAACATCTTGAGTTATTTCTTTGGTGGAAGAACTTAATAACCAAGTCACCTTTCCTTTCCCTCTTCAATTCCAATCCCTTGTATGAAGGGCACGGGGCACTCAAATATCTGTTGACTCACCCAGTTATGGTGCGTACATCAGGGATATCTGTATAGTTTGGATCTTTCTGTTTGTTTGTTTGCGTTTGAGACGGTGTTTTATATGCAGTTTAGGCTGGCCCTGAACTCACTATGTACCTCAAACTGGCCTCAGACTCACAGCAAGCCTTCTGCCTTAGCCTCCCTAGTGCTAGGATTTCAAGTGTGCACCACCATACTCAGCTCACTTTGGATCTTGAATGTCCCCCAACGGCCCATGCATTGATGGTTTAGGTCTCAGCCTGTGTTGCCATTTGTGGATTAGTTGGAGCCTAGTGGAAGGAAGTTACACCATTGGGCATTGAACTTATAGCGGCTGTTGGGACCCTGGGCCCTCCTTTCCCTCTCTGTTTTTGCTTTGTAGCTGCCATGAGGTGAGCCGCCTTGACTCTCCTCTCTCTCTGTACTTTGGCTTTCTGGCTTCCATGAGATGAGCCACTTCCTCAGCCATGCACTTCTACCACAATGTGCCATCTCATCACAGACCCAAATGCAACAGGGCCAACCACTACATGTTGGAACCTTCACAGGCAGGAGCCCTGGAAACCCTTTCCTAGCCAAGTGTAGTGGTACTATAATCCCACCTGTGATCTCAAAATTTAGGAATGCTAATGCAGGAGGATAGGAAGTTTGAGGTGAGCCTGGGCAACTTAGTAAGACCCTGTCTCAAGTAAAAATAAATAAATAAATAAATAAATAAATAAATAAATAAATAAACAAGGCCAGCGATATATCCAGCCATAGAGTACTGCTGGGTTTAATTCCCAGTAATAAAAAACACAAACATAAATTCCAAAGCCAATGCCTTTCTTCCTTTAATCTTAAAGAAATAGAGAGCTGACTAACACAGTGCCCAAGGTCTATCCTCGCAGGGAATAATTTTCAAGGGGCTATCTGGCAATCTCTTCCAGAGTTTGCATCCGATGGAGGAAATTTTCATGGGTAGGAAAGAAAGTGAGGCTTGTCATAAGACATGAAAAAGAGACACATGTGGCTGTTAGTAGCTGGGTGACTTTATTTCATACCTCTAGGATTTGGTGTCTTTACCTTTGGAGAGCGGTGCTGGAGTTTGCACTACTGCAGGTAGCCTCTGTGCCTATGGAAGAGCAGGTCTCCTCTTTGGATATTGTCTGCAACCACAGGCTCATGCTCCATTCATCCCATGAAGACATGGGCCCCACAAAGCTGTTTCTGGGTCTGGGTCAGGGATGTCCTCTGGACAGAGCTGTAGAGGTCGTAAGGTCAGACTACTGCAGGCTAACTTCCCAAAGTCTCATCATAAACCCCAGAGGTGCCCAGGTAGATGGGTTAGAGTCTGATTCATGAGTCTGTGCTCTTAGGAAAGCCTTCTCAGGGAAATGTCTGGATGCCAAGGTCAGAGGTCATGTTTCCTGGTGCCCAGAATCATCAAAGCTTACTATCTCACAGCTGAAAGAGGCTACCTGCAGTAGTGAGTGTGGGCATCACTGGGGTCAGCAGTGTGGCTGAAATGGTCACGTAGAGCAGCTCTGTCCTTTACTGTGGCCAACTGGTCAGGTCAGATTCCAGAGCACTGATGGAGCCCTGTTCACAGGTGGGAAGGGGACTGACTGGCTGCTAAAGGTGAAACGCATTTTGTCTTCCTCCTCTTTGATGCCCCACAGTAAAGACATTCATGTTATGGGGGGAGGCTTGGCCATCTCTCTCCCTCTGCCCCTTTCCTTGAACCACACACCCTTTTGTTGCCCTCGCTTGACCGGGCCTTTCAGATAGTTAGGTGTTGTGGTCAGTGTTCCAGTGACAGCTCTTTTGGCACCCCTGGAGGCTCTTGACAGAAAATGCAGTGCATGCTGACAGCTTTCTGTGTTCCTCTAGGACAATGTAGGCGAGGAGGATGAGTGACCCCCAACCAATAAGAGATGAGAGGTAGCAAAATCCCCTGACTCCTTTGCCACCACAACAGCATGGGAAATGCCTACAGGTTAGAACCCACAGACTAAACCTTGGGAGATGGTGACAAAAACAGTGCTGAATTGGTGTTTCGGTTACGTAGCAATCCTAACCTTCCTGGGGTTTTCACCTGGTCTCTCCGGATCTGGTCAGACTTCTCTGGAATCTCTATAACCTCAGAGCACATGGACATACTTTACTTACAAGTAAGTGTGGACACTTACTGCAAAAGTTTTGGATCTCATTTTTTTTTGTCTCACAGCATGAAGTCTCATTAATTTTCCATAAACTTCAGTCTATCTATATAAAAAAAACCCTTGGATTAAGTCAGAATTTCTCATACAGCACTCAGAGAAATGACAGTTCTGTAAGATGGTAGCAGCTATCATCTGGAGTATCATGGATTTCACTGATGAGTTTATTTTGAAATATTGCTGGATTAAAGTACAATTTTTAACTGCAGAGTTTCTCGGATCATTTAATATAAAAATTCACCCTTCTTTTGGTGGTTTTCTGGAGACAGGATCTGTCTATGTAGTCCACGTTGGCCTCAAACTTGTGGTGATCCACCTTCATCAGTCTCCTGGGTGGTAGGATTATAGGCATATACTACTACACCCTACAAAAAGTTCACCTCAAATAAGGTATTTCTTCAAAACAGCAAACATGCCAAGCAGGATAGAATCTAAGGATGGCTCAAATTCATAGTGCTATAATTCTTTATCAAGTTCCCTTGAGAGTAGAGATATAAAGAGAAATATAATCAATGATCGGCTCATTTTAGTTCTGTCTTATAGACATAATACAGTGGTTGGTCTTTAACAACTGTGTTTAACTAGCTCAAAGCAAGTGGCAACAGTGGGATCATTTTTAAAGCAGAGTGGTAAAGGATAAGTCAATGGGATTGAAAACAGTTGAAACAAGTTGTTGCTTCAGTCCAGACTAGATATTTGTTACTTTAATGATGTTTTGGGTGATAAAACCAATTGAAAAAAAACTGATAGAGGGACTGGGGATTTAGCTCAGCGGCATAAGCACCTGCCTTGCAAGCAGGCAGTCATGAGTTCAATCCCTGGTACTGATAAAAAAAACAAAAACAACAACAACAACAAAAAACTGACAGCAAAATAGTGTTGGTTTGGACTTTCTTTTCCTTTTTTGGGCATAGTCTTGGCTGGGGTAGCTGCTATGAGCAAAGGCTTTCATCTGAAGCTCCTGAGCAGAGAAATCCTACTCAGCATCTCCAGATGTGTGTGTGGGGTGGGGTAAGGGGAGGTTGGGAGGGTTTAGTTTTGTGGCACATGATGGAAAAACTCTTACGATCTCATGTTCACAGTTAAATGTCCAGCAAAGCTCCAAGTGCCTGAGTCACTAAGGCTTTCCACGCGGGGACAATGTCCACTCGATGCGATGTGAGCTACACAGACTGACCTTCAAGTATCTTCTTCCTTTATTGAAAAGAATCCACATATGCTTAATCTACTTTTTACAAATCTGGGCATGAGTAAATTCCAAGCTCTCCTTGCCAGTAGTTTTCATCAAAAAAGAATCATATTTAAGGTCAGCATTTGATAGACAAGGATGGAAAATACAGTAGCATCATCAAACCATCGATGGGTTTAAAGCCAGTGTTCTGCAGCTTTTTTTCATAATGGCTAGGACATGGAACCAACCTAGGAGCCCATCAATGGATGAAGGGATAAAGAAGACTATGCAAAATGGATGGAACTGGAGAGATCCATGTATTAAGTAGAATAAACCAGACACAGGAAGCTGAACATGGTGTATTATGTCTCGTACATGGAAGCTAAGAAAAAAATTGGTGTGACGGGTGAGGGCAGAGGGAATAAAAAGAGATTGGATAATGGGTACCAAAACACAGACAGAAGAGATAAGTTCTGGTGTTTTTCAGGAAAGACTATTATTCACAATAAACTATTACACATTTTCTGAAATCTAGAAGGAAGGTATTTGAGAGCTCCAAATATAAGGAAATTATAATCTAGGACAGAAAAAAGAAATCATAGGGAGACAAAATGTTCATTATTGTCTTGATCTGATCAGTGCATGCTGCATGATATGTTGAAATATTAAATGCACTTTCTTTATATTTCAATTATTACATGTTAGTTAAAATAAATTCCCATGCTTGGCCCCACCCTTGGAGATTCTGATGGAATAAAATATGTGCAGACATCTGGATTTTAAAAAGTTCTACAGGTACAACTCACGTGTCCATCAATAAGAGTCTAGATACATGAAATATAGGTTACCCATACAATAGAAAGCTAACAACTTAGCAATTAAGAGTAAAAAGCTGTCAATTTATGAAGCAGCTTGGATGAAGCTTTCAGAGATCAAGTGAAAAAAGCTAGTCACTAAAGAGCACAGTGTGTCACATTTTTAGGAAGTTCAAAAGAACGCAAAAGTGTTACATAGTGTTAGAAATAAAAATTTTGGCTTCTACTGAGTGGGAGTAGAGAAATTGACAATCAAAGGGGCACAAGGACATTTTATGGGGCTGATAAAAATACTTTGTATGTTTTTTAGGTGATGGTCTATGTAGATAGATGCACATAATTTCAAAAGTTAACAAAATGAATCTTTTTCTTTTTTAGCCCCCCCCCCATCCCAAGTGCTGGGGAGCAAACACAGGGTCTCATTAGAATACACGAGGCAAATACTCTACCACTGAAGCACATCTCCTGTCCAATAAACTGAATTCTTCAGTGATATGAGGTTAATGTGTGTGATCCATACCTTATTTATTTGCTTGTTTGTTTATTGATTGGGAGAGGGTCTCACTGGGTTGCTCATACTAGTCTTGAACTCCTAAGGTCACATCCTCTTGAGAAACCAGAATTACAGGTGTGAGCCGCCAGTCTCAGTGATGATTTATGCTTCATTTAAATAAACAACTGAGCTTCCCCAAATCAGAGTCCTGCTTCCCTGCTCAGGTCCAAACTTGGTGGTCTCTACAGGAGGGAGGGGCCTGACCCAGCTCAGCACAGCCGAAGTCTCTGAGAACAGCACATTTCCACATTCTCAGATTTGTATCTCACAGTCCCCCATTTTCATTTAGCTTTCAGAAATCCTCCTACCTTTTTTCTGTCTTTGGGGTAATAAAACCCCAGGGAACTCTACATACCACAAGCAGCTGAGTAATGAATCTGTAAGTCTCTACAACAGTGCTCCTTTCCTATTTGTGTGTCAGCAGCCATACCCACATTCCTTCAGAGAACATCCTCTTCTAGGTCACTTAAAGGCACCTCATGTTTGAAAGCCTACTATGTGCCACATTATGCTGAGTCTTGTACCAAGATTTTTGTTTTTTTCTTTTCTAAATAATCCTGGTATTTTCCAGGGAAATAGGTATTTTCCTTGCCCTCCTCCACTTTCTGGATTAGTAATTATTAAAGGATGATAAATAATGGCCTAGAGGTTATTTCTTAGTTTGGTTGAATTAACACAAGAAAATATTATAAACTGGGTAAGTTTATAAATCACAAAAGTTTATTTCTCACAATTCTGGAGCTGAAAGTCCAGGATCAAGGTGAGGTAGATTTAATTTTGGTGCCAGTGCATAGACCACAACCTTTTGCTGGAGCCAGAGGAGACGGAAAAGGGACTAGATGCCACGCTGACGACTCTTTTGCAAAGGCAGTAATTTCCTCCAGGTCTCAGGATCTAATCACCCCAAAAAGGTCCCTCTTCCTAATACATTGCCCCTGTGGCAAGGGTTAAGATTTTAACATTTTAGCAGATAATATTAGGTTGATAAGTGCAGCAGGCAAGGTTGGCACAACGATTGCAAAGCCTTTTAAAATTTAAGACCCCCTTTTTCCCCAGGGCCTGGAAGGAAAGAAGTGAAGGCAGGCACGGAGATGGAAGTGATTTTAAAGGGAGCAAACGCCCCTCACTTGGCAACGCATCCCATGTCCAGTCACCAGGAACCCAGCTGGTTCCAGGTTCTCTCGCTTACCCCTCTAGTAGCTTAGAACTGGTAACCTCAGGGCAACTTTTGTTTGGTACAACTTAGCAGACAAGAAGGAAGCGAGTGGGCAACGTAGATGTCTTTGCTTTCAGGCTTCTGGCTTTCTGAGATCAGAAGAGTGGGTTCTTGTACGGGGGTGGTGAGGCACACGGAGATGCATCGGAGCAGACTCTCTGTGCGGGTGTGTGCGTGTCGGCGCGCCTGAGCTTGGAGGGGAGATCGTCGTACCCAGCGCGAGGCGCTGGGGAGGAGGAAGCGGCCGCAAAGATCTGAATAATTGATTCTTCAGCTGCACCAGAAACCCGGGAGCGGGCGGAGAGCGTGGTTCCAGCACCACGGACAGCGACACGCGCCGCCGCAGGACCCCGGTCAGCAGTCAGACACCTATCGGCCTTGTTCGTCGCCCAGCGCTCCGGGAGCCGGTGGCCGCGCTCCGCGTCGCCGCCGCCCGGGGACTGCGGGGTCTGCCTCAGCCCGCCTCCAGGAGGACGGCTGCGGGCGGAAGACGCTTTCGCCCGCTGGAGCTCCAAGCGCCTTCTGTTTGCGTGGAGGCTGCTGCGTCTGGTTGGCTAAGAACAAGTCCCTAAGTTGGCTTGGTGGGCGCCTTCCTTCCTGTTCTTCGGAGGCGACCGCGGCAGGAGCACGCCCCAGGAATCTTTGCCAGTGGCGTGAGCCAGGACAGCCAGGCGCTCTCTGGACTCCCGCCGGGAAGTGGGGAACCGAACGCTCAGCGCGGCGCTGGCCCCGCAGCCAAGGGCCCCGAGGGAGCTGCCTTCTCCCGCCCGCGCCTCTCTCGGCCGGGGACCGCGGGGATCCCCGGCCACACGCGCGCGCGCGCTCCCACACTCACACTCGCACACACGCACACTCGCCCTCACGCACACACCAGCCTGAAGCGGGGCTGCGGAGAGGGCTCCCGGGCGCGCTCAGAGGACCAGGCAGCTGCCATCCGGAGTGGGGCAGGGGACTGAGCTTGGGGTGTTGGAGAAAGACTCAGAGAGCTTGGCCGGAGCATGGGGCCGGGTGAGCGCTGAGAGTCACGGCCGCAGCCATCAGCCTTGGAGATGACCAGGAGCGGCCACCGCTGAGAACTATGTGGAGGGAGGCTGCGGTGAGTGGTGGTGCGGGGCGCGGAACCCGGGAGGCCCTCTCGGGAAGGGGGCGGCGGGAGGCCTGGTTAAGAGGGGGCGGCAGGACCGCCAGAGGGTCGCTACGTGGGAGTGATCGCACCTCCCTCGGGGATCCGGGACCGCGGGAGCCCGCGTCCTTCCCTCCCCCTCTCCTCCTGCCAGCTCGTCGCAAACTCAGCCAGCGCCCCCTCCTTCCCCCTCTTTCCTTCCCTACCCCCCTTGTTCAGCAGCTTCTGGTCGCAAAACTCCCAGCAGCCGGCGCCGGGGAGGTGGTAGGGGGTGAGGGTGGAGGTGCCCAGTTAGCTTCTCGTGGGTGGCCAGCTCGGGGCTCCCGTTCTCCTATGCACCCCTGAGCTGAGCTCGGGTTATCCGCTACAGGGACTGGATCCGCACTGAGGGCGTCTGGGCATGGAGCTCAGCTCTTCCTCTACAGTCGGGTCCCCAGGCGCATAGGGGGGCTGTGAGCACTGCAGACTGCAGCCTCCCCCCAACCCCCCTTCCTCCGCGTCGGTGGGCTGACCCTGCCACTCCATCTGTCCTCCGCCCTGCTAGAGCCCTGCTGCAGAGCCTCCGGCTGGGATAGCCGCCCCCCGTGGGGGCGATGCGGACAGCGCGGGACAGCCAGGGGAGCGCGCGGGGGCCGCAGCATGCGGGAACCCGCTAAACCCGGTGGCTGCTGAGGCGGCCGAGATGCTCGTGCGCGCAGCGCGCCCCACTGCATCCACGACCTTCTCCGGCTACAGGTAAGTCCCAGCGGGAGAGACTGGTTTGGTGGGCCCGGGAAGAGAGAGACTCGATCGGAGGGAGATTGGGAGAGGGATCGGGAGAGAGGAAGCGAGAAAGCGGGAGAGGAAGACCAGTAGTGAGGCTCGAGAGGAGCACCAGGGGGCGCTGCGGCTCCGCACTCCACGGTGCTCACCCAAAGAATACCAAGGCCGGCGCGAGTTCGCCCCAACTTCCTCCTGCTCCAACAGCGCCCGGCCAGAGGGGCGCGCGCCTGTATACGCGTGCACGACCGTGCTGATATTTGCAGGCAAGAGCGGCGGCACGCCTGGCGCGGTACAGGTGTGTGCCACGCTTGAGGACGTGTGAGGATTCTAAATGTCTGTGAGCATCTCTACGGTGTCCTGCGGAAGTGCGCAGAAAAGCGCGCGTGCCTGTGAGCGTGTGCAGCTAACTGCCCACGTGCAACTAAGATTTGGCAACAGGGTTCGAAGTGGAAAGGTTAGGGCGGAGCTGTACAGTCTGCGTCTGTCTGAGAGCTTCTTGGGAACCTACCTTTCTCCCCACACACGTTCTTTGCTGGCTCCCACGCTCTGGTCCACGGGGACACGCGCCTACTCTTCAAAATTCTGCATTGCACAGGCACGCACTACAGAAGGTGTGTGTGCGTCCACGCGCGTGAATGTGTAGGGGGCGGGTCCTGGGGCAGCCTGCAGGTGAGTGAAAACCGCTTAAAGCCCCTCCACAAGACTTGGGGCGGGGCGCAAGTTAACCCAGGCAACCCAGAACCTTGATCCTCATACCAGCGTGCTCATTTCTAAGCGCATGGGAGGGTACCCTGCAGGAAAGTAGCGAGGTCTGCACCAGTTGCAGCGCGTGAAGTGCGGTCTGTGGCGCACCCGGCCAGCTCGCAGGGGGTGGGGTCAGTTAACTAGCTCAGCCGGCGCGCAGGCTGCGGTGTGCGGGTGCCGCCTCCGCACGCCAGGGCTGGTCTGTAGTTTGCTCCGCGTAAGCAGGGGGCGGGGTCGGTAATTTGTTCCGCGCTGCCCTGGGGGAAAGAGGGGAAGACAGAGGGTTTATTACTTGCAGCCACGAGCTGGGTGGTGTCCATGGCTGGTTTGGTGCTCCCAGGCTGTGGTTTGCAGCTAACTTGGGGAACACGGCGGGGAATGTGGGCAGAGTCTGAAATGGGGAAATGGCTGGGGATAGGGGCAGAGGCAGGATACGAGAGTAGGCTTGGGGACAGAGGTGGAGAATTTGGTCATTTAGAGTTGTAGACAGAGTTGGAGATGGATGGAGAGATGTAGATGGCGTCGGGGATGAGGAATGGAGACAGTGACCACCGATGCCCATGCTGGGGTTGGGTTTGTTCCTGACCCATAGGGCAAGGCGCAGGGTCGGTGCTCCCTCTCCTGTGTGCCCCTTTTTCACACCGCCCTGCCTCTCACTCCACCTTGCAGGGACCGTAAGTGGCGACTATGGGAAGACTGGGCTATTGGACCCTGCTGGTGCTGCCGGCCCTACTGGTCTGGCGCGGTCCGGCGCGGTGCGCGGCGGCGGAGAAGGGTCCCCCAGCGTTGAACATCGCGGTGCTGCTGGGTCACAGTCACGACGTGACGGAGCGTGAACTCCGAAACCTGTGGGGCCCGGAGCACGCGGCGGGGCTGCCCCTGGACGTGAACGTGGTAGCGCTGCTCATGAACCGCACCGACCCCAAGAGTCTCATCACGCACGTGTGCGACCTCATGTCTGGGGCGCGCATCCACGGCTTGGTGTTTGGGGATGACACTGACCAGGAAGCTGTGGCCCAGATGCTGGATTTTATCTCCTCGCAGACTTTCATCCCCATCTTGGGCATCCACGGGGGTGCATCTATGATCATGGCTGATAAGGTAAGGCTGGGAGGAGCTGGCTGCCAGGATCCCAGAGAAATCATCGCTGGTTCTTGGGCTCTGCTGGCATCTGTCTTGACCTGGAGTTGGGAGGACTTGTCTCTGGTGAGAATCAGGCCTCACCTCTCCAACCAGAAATGAAGGGAAATATCCCTTGTCTAGGTTTTGAAAGCAGAGTACGCAGTCACCTACTTCAGTGTACCAGGAAGGGTGTGGAAAGAGTTGGCGCTGGTGGCAGTGGAGTGTTTGGAGACTGCCAAGCAGTGCCCAGCAGAAAGCATGGGAACACGCAGACTAATATGCTTCATATTTGTATAAAATTGACCTTAACTGATGTTTTGGGGGAAGAGTTCATTTAGTTCCTACTTGTGGTGAGTACTAGAACTATTTTTAAAAATATTAAAGGTGAGTACATTGTGAGACAAAATGTGAAGCTTTTAAGTAAAGTACAAAAGGATTAAAAAAAAAATGTTAAGGTTCCCCAGACTGCAACAAGAAGAACAGAGGTGATAAGCCTGAGGAGCCCTGGGCTAGAGAAGTACGGATTAAACCCTTTTCTAGGCGTTGAGGTGGGGATACTTCCAAGCCCAGAGCATGGAGAGCCTGACACTTTTCTCACAAAGTCCTTGTGTGAATTGGCCAGATGCAGGAGTTGACTCTCAAGGATGGATCTTGGTCTTGAAGTTGAGTCTTGAAATAAAAGAAAGTGTGCTCAAGCCTCTTGACATACGATGAAAGGGTGAGCCTTTTTGTGGATGTCCAGAGAGCCCTGGGTTAGAGAAAGTGGGGAGAAGTTGGCTTGAGTGAGAAGTCATAGGACCTGGTTGGGAATTAGGCTGAAGAGGAAGATGGGAAGGAGGATCCAAGGGAGAAGTAAAGTGAGGAAAGAGGAAAAAAGGGAAAAGGATTGGAGTTGTGGGTACACTGTAACTCCATGTGAGCCCCAGGAGAGATCAGGGCATTGAAAAGGAGAGGAAAGCACGAATACACACACGTGTGCTGGTCTCTGCATGGAGACCTTCTTGGAGGTCCTTAGATAGCAGGAGACATCCTAGTGGAGCACGCAGACATTTGTTACAGCACTTTCCTTTCGACGCTGTCAAAGTACTTTTGTATTTATCAAACCCTATTCTGGCTCTGCTCAGCACTTCTCACTGACTCCTTTGGGAACTCTGTTAATTCTTTCAGGTCTCCTGGGCTGCAGCACATTCAGCTGAAACACACAACTGATGCAGTATCTTTTTAAACATTCATTTAAAATGATTTGCCACCTAGCAGAATCCTGATGAGTGGAGTATTTTCTCTCAATTTTAGCTAGGCTCTTTTCTGTAATGAAAAGAGAACCAGCTGAGCTCTGCCCCCAATGAATAGGCCATTTCAGAATTAGACAGGGCCCTAGGGTTTGCTGGAGCAGCAGGTGAATTTGTAGTGAAGTTAAGATACTTGACTAAGATCATGCAGTAGGTGATAGAGCTAGATATCTGGATTTCTAATCTCAAGCTTTGAGCTTACATCCTGCCAAATCAAGCCTGTTCTTTAACTTTGTCATACCATACTTAAGAAAGACAAGAAATCCATCTCATGATATGGAGAAGTACAGTGTATACAGTGAACCACAGCCTAGAGAGAGGAGCCAGGTGTCCCATGAAGGCATGAACATGGAGAAAAAGAGTGCTTCCCAGCAAAGGTTGAAGGTGTGCCTTTGGGATATAAATATTGATACTGGTGCCTCTTCCTTTCTGAAGTTTTGACTTAAGGAGCAACACCTAAGAAATAATAACCATAATGAAAGTGAAATTTCTCGATCCATGAGGGGCCAGCACACCCAACAGAGAACAGGGTGAGTTGGGGAAGGTAATTTAAGGCCAGGAGGCCGGGGTAGCCTCCGTCCCCCTTTCTTCCCAGTCTGTGCTGGCAGGTCTGTGCGATAGGCTCTCCCTTGTCATGAAAGGGGCATTAAAAAGAGAATTTTGAGAACTGAGAGAATATGGGACTACGCTGCCTTTTTGTGGGATGAAACTGCTTTATGGGGATGTGAACAGAAGTGTGATCCCCCTTAAGAGTACAAAAAAGAAAGGGACCAAGACAGAAAAGTGCATTTCCAGAGAAGACAAGATTAGATGGAGAGCTGAAGTACGGGGGAGGAGAAAGAAGGAGCTCATTGGCTCAAAAATGGTGACAGGAACCAAGTACTTTCCATTGTTGTTGGTGTCATCAGGGTTGCAGAGATTGCCCCGCCCTGTGATCTGGTGGAACGGCAGTGAGGTAAGGCGAGAGGGAAGAGCATTGAAGAAGTCAAAGGAGACAGTGCTGGGGACATATGCGAGGTCCTATGTGTGGGGTGGGCAGGTGGTTTTGAGAGTAGATGGTTCAAGGATGGTATTTCCCTTCCATTAGTGGCACAACTCTTTGGCAGGTGCCTTTACCACCTGGCTAGTTTAGAGTTGAGTGCTTGGTGGGGTTTGTTTGGCTTCAGAGAAGCAGTCATGTGGTGCTACCTAAAACTCTGCCTTGCGTGGGTGTGCCCGCAGAGTTATGACCACGAAGTCTCAACCTCCCTGAATTGACACGTACCCTTGGTCTCCCCCTAAGATGATTCGGACTTGGTAAGGTAGCTTAGAGCACCCCTGTGTTGTTTTTATTTCTAAGTTGAAGGCATGTAGATAAGATGGGGTATGTGTTAATTCTACATATACCTACCATTTACTCTGGTTAATTTTATTATCAGTGAAACTGGAAACCACACACACCCTGCATTTTCAGCTTTCCCATGGCCTGTGTGACTCTTGAAGTAAAGAACAAAGCCTTGTAACGATTGATATGGTGTTAAGTGGCAGGTTTTTGCAGGATCAGTTTAGCCTACAACAGAAGTATTAATTTTTTCTCGTATCAGTGTGTGGTCTGGTTTTGTAATAAAACTGGTTAACATAATGCTTGATGTACACAAAGTTGTAATCTTATTGGGGTCTGGCTGTTTGGGCTCTGGCCAATTAAAGTAGATGCTGGCTTCAATATTAGTCCCCAGTAAATCCAGTGAATGGACTAGGCTGTGACCTTTCTTCTCAGTGTCCTGCTGGCCTCACACCCCATCCGGGGTGCAAGAGGCAAGATTAAGTCTACTCACGGCAGTCCCTTCTCTGACATTTGCTGTGTGTGCTAATTCTGTACGTACCCCGTCTCCTCCTGGAGTAAAAGTCCACTGAGGACAGGCTTTCCTGTGACAGTTTATACATCAGAAACTGAGTTCTGGACAGAGTCAAGCTTGATACACTGTGAGGTTATTGTTTTTTTGTCTTTTTCTTTTGTGTTCTAGATTTTTTTTTCTCATTGTGATGTTTGGTAATGTTAAATTAAAAATATAGTCTTAAATAAAGTTTGAACTTATCTCTAAAAATACATATATGTGTATTTGAAGTAGTGAGTACTGTTCTTCACAAACACTATAAAAATGATTATTTTTAGAGCATTTAAAAAAGTATACTAAAATTTAAAGGAGAAAATGAAAATTTTGCTTCAAATTCTATTACCAGGAGTAACCACAGATGACATTTTGGTGTGTTTCTTTCTAAGCTCTATTGAGTTACAAGTTGAGGATTGTGTTAGATATATGGTTTGGTTTTGCTTATTGTACTTTGTAGGTTTCTGTAGTTAGAACACTAAAGTTTTTCATTAATGCTGTAAAAATCTCAGCCACTATTTGTTGAATATTTTCTCTGTCACTCTCTTCCCTTCTGGATATATCTATATATCTATATCAATATCTATATCTGGAGATATCTAGATACATTATTACAAGCTCAGACCACACACTGATACATCCAGATACACACACACACACACACACACACACACACACATATATATCATATATATTAGTCATATATATATTAGTTATATATATATTAGTTTCTCAACCAATTCTCTATGAATCCTAATGTAAATTTTTTTTTTGGCTCTGTATCTCTCTGGGCTTTGAGACAGTTTGTTTTCTCCAATTCTGTGCTCCTGTTAGCTAACTTGTTTCAATTGTGGCTAGTCTATTGATTTATTTGTTTGACTTTTAATTTTAATAATGATACATTTTATTCGTAAGGTTTACTGTTGGTCTCCCTTCCCTGTTTTTTGTAATAAGTGATTTAATGAGGCACTCTTCATACTTAGTGAATGTAAATCCTTACTCTGACTCTTCAAGGAATTAATATATACTTATTATTACACTTTTCTCCAATTGCTCTAGAATCTTTGTTTCAATTGTAAATCCTTCCATTGGTAGTATCTATTAATTTGAGTCTTCATGTATTCTCTAATTTTTGTTTGTGAACTTATCTTCATTGCAATTTTAGACTTCCTTCTGCTGGCACCTGTGGGATGTGTGCTTTTAAACCATAGCTCATGTCAACCACTCAGTTCAGAGATTTCTTCCTGCTCTACCCAGTCTAAAGTGCAGGCTCAGGCTGACGTCGCTTGCTGATAACTTTGGGGCACCTCTTTGATGCACACAGGGTCCTTCTTTAGGGCTGTGAGCATTGGTTGGTGGTAGAGATGTGCCAGTGTTTTCACAGCTGGTAGCACAGTGCCACTGTACCCTATGACCTCCCCCCCACTGCCTGCCTGGGGTTGGGGGAGCTGACACCTGATTCCCATGGTTCATATTAGACCCCCCCCCCCAAATTATGTGGCTTTGACTCCTATTTGCAATTGTAGAGTCTTATCTGTTTTATTTTATTTTATTTTTTTGTGGTGTTAGGGATTGAACCTAGAGCCTCATGCATACTGCAGAGCCACACCCCCAGCCCAGAGTCTCAGCATTTAATATATTTTAAGGAGTCCTCTGTATTTTGATCTGTGAGTCTCTCATCTTATTTCCAACCAATACTATGTACATTTTAAAATAACTGAGGCATTCTCTATAAATTCTACATCTTAAAAGTGAAGGAGAGCGTTACTGAATGTATTCACTCTGATTTTGAGCCAGTTTTATTTCCCAACCTGTTTTCATG